CCGCCGCCGCCTCGGAGCCGTCCCGAGATGGGTCCTTCAAAGGCTCCAACAGGTCTGTGTCTGCCCGGGGCGCGTGGGCACACAGGTCCTGCACCTTCTTATTGAGGTCGTTGCGCTCCGTTTGCAGGGCTCGGCACAGTTTCTCCAAGCGTTGGATTTTCACCTGAAGCCCCTCTAACTCTTTGTCCCGAAGGGTTTTCTGCAAATAGAGAGGCAGTTCAGACTCCACCACACTGGGGACAGAGGCAGAAAGGGAGCGAGATGAAACCTCAGAAGGAAGTTCAAAGGGAAAATACTTGTGACCATGCCAACATTTGGCATTCAAAAGACCCGATGCTACCGTCACCGCTTCTGTCTTCCTTTGCCTCCACAAAGGCCAAGCGCCACTGAGACTGTCTGACCTTTTCCACGCACCTCGGCACTAATTAACCACCACTTCTGCCATGTGACAGAGGGCTCCTACCGCCACGTACAGGGAAGGAAAGCAAGCTGAAGGGAAAAACACCCCCCATGCACCCAGCCTGCCCACAATAAGACGGGAGCCGTCCCGCTGCCCCTCAGCTCCAGCCTGACAAACACCACAACGCATCACCACGCCGCTCCAGCTGCCTGCCTCCACACAGGACAGCCAGAGCCTCCTCACCTCTTCAGCCATTTCCAAGAGAGCCTTGTTGCTGCTCTCCCAGCGAGAACGGTACATGGTGGTCTCTTTCTCCAGCTTCTTGATTTTCTTAGTCATCTACAGAATCACGGTGACAAAAAGGGAACAAATAAGCCCCAGGCAGAGCACTGCAGTCAGTTACATCTCCCATGTCCTCAAATGGGCACCCGCTATCCCAGCGCAGACAGTGAGGTTCTGCTGTCCAGGGAAGCGTCTCCTTGTGTTGCTGCCGACAGCTTCACCAGAGGGAAACACTGACCGGGTAACAACAAAGCAGGAGCCGGGGGTACGCTGCTGGTTCTGACACAGGTAGGGCACAGCAAGGACAGCAGCAACCTTCTGCAAGCTCGTGGCCGATTTTAATACCGGCAAAGCTAAACAGAACTACAGAGCTGCAGCAATTCCAGCTCGTGTCCAATTTTAATACCGGCAACACTAAACAGAACTACAGAGCTGCAGCAATTCCAGCTCGTGTCCGATTTTAATACCGGCAAAACTAAACAGAACTACAGAGCTGCAGCAATTCCAGCTCATGTCTGATTTTAATACCAGCAAAACTAAACAAAACTACGGAGCTGCAGCTCTTGCAGCTCACAGAAGCATCGAACAGAGACAGACAGGCAGCGCCTCCAGCCCATGCAAGCTCTGCTGGGCAGCAAAAGTGTTACCCACCTTCTCCATCTCCTGTTTAAATGTCGTGAACACTTCACTGCTTTTGGAAAGGGTGTTCTGGAATTCTTCAAACTTCTCTGTGTAGAGAGCGAGCTGCGGGGAGAGACAGGGTTACAGCTGCTCACCACGGCACCTCCTGACAGCCTTCCCCAGGAGAGGGGAGATGTCAGCCAAGAACTGAGCCAGTTATCTTGTGACTGGACTTCACGACAAACAAACTGGCACTTGGAGCTGCTCTGCCAACATCAGGTACTGGGGCATGTGGAAAAATTCTTTCCTAGGGAAACACCCTCAGATGTGCTCTGCAAACATCTCCCAGCCTTGGCAGGAGGCACTTGCTGGGTCTGATTCAGCCAGGTCTGATCACACGACTGCTCCCAGCATCGGGAAATGCGCTGGTAAAAACCAAGGCCCCTTTCTCCCAGAAGGCAGGACTGCAGAAGGAAGTCCCAGCTCACGCCATGCTGCCACAGGCTCACCAATACAAAACCCAGGAGCAATCCTCCTCCTGTGTTTTCCAGATTAAGGAACTTTGGGTTGTTCCCTGCTTAGGGAGGAAGGAAAAAACCCCAAACAAATAAACCAGGCTAAGCACACAGACCAGGTAACTCACCTGCTGCTTGAGATGGGTCTCCTGCTGCTTCATCAGTTCACACATCCTCTGCGATTCCACAGCTTCCTTCAGCAGCTAGGGAAGAGTGAAAGCAGTTACCTTGCTGCCACCAGGGAAGGCTCTCCTCGTGCCCCTGCAAGGCTGCCGCTTCGCCTGGAGACAAGAGCGGGCTGGGAGAAACACAGAGAGCAGAGCAGGGCTCCAGCCTTGCTCCCGGAATCACTGGGGGAGCGGCCACTGCTGGGCACACAGGAGGCCTGGCACGGCCTGATCCGATTCGGGCTCTGCACTCAGCGACCCAACGGTAACAAGCCTCCACAGAGGGACAAGGCAAAAAGCGAAGTGCATTAGAGAACTGCTCGAAGACTTACAAAGTCCTTCTCCCGCTGGTGCCTCTCCTCCGCCTCCTTCAGCATCTCCTGCGCCTGCTGGAGCTTTGCGTCCACCAGCTGCTGCTGCAGGTCCTTGTGTTTGAACACCTTGTCAATGTGCTGCCGAGAGAACACCACCAGTTACCGACACGCTCAGCCCAGCCCTTGCTGCCCAGGCAGCAAGGGCCCAGAGCCCAGAGGCCTCTTCTCCCCTCCAGCAGCAGAAACACGCTTCGCTGGGCAGAATGGATGTGCTACGCCAGGTCTCCCACCCCGACCCACCTCCTCCCGCAGCTCGTACTGCTCGATGAGCTTCTTGAGCCGCTCTGCCAGCTCCATGTTCTCCTGGCGCAGCTTGGAGTTCTTCTCGTTGTGCTGCTCCATCTGGAGCTGGATGTCGTTCAGCGTCACCTGGAAGTGGGATGTCACCTCCTTCCGCTTCTCCTCTTCCTCCCGCGCACGCTGGACACCCTCCTCCTGCGTGAGGAGGGCAGAGACAGCAGGGACATGTCATCCTCTGTGCTGGGCAGCTGAGCAAACCCGCCCAGGCTCCCACTATTGCTCACATCAATCAGGACGGGACTTTGGCCCACCGCCTGACAGCCCCCTTCCCCAGCCTGCTTTGGGCCTTTCCCTCCCTTTCTCCAGTGAGCACAGCCTGAAATAACACTTGGGCACGGTGGATAATGATGGCTTAACAGTAAAATTAAAGCACTGCCCTGGACGGTAGACTGTGGGCAATCACCGGCAAAGGTAAGTTTGCCAAAACGGCTCGCAGGCCCATGGCAAGCGATCTGAGTGCTTGGGATGAAGCAGCTCGTGGAATAGCGCCCAGGAGACACTTGCCTTGAGGGTGCGGTTGTGTCTCTGGAGCTCGCGGCACAGGCTCTCCAGCTTGCTGCGGGCCAGGATTGCCTTGCTGTGCTCGCTCTGCAGGTGGTCCTTCTCTTGCACCAGCTGCGTCTGCTTCTTCTGCAAGATCTTCATCTGTTTCTGGGAGTTACGGTGCTCTTCCAGCTAGGACAGGGGAGCAAAGGGCACAGATGCAGCAAAACAGACCAGGGCAATATGCTGTGCCCCTATGAGGGGACATGGGGATCCAAACAGTGCTCTCTGTGCTCTGTGAGGAGGATGAGAGCTTTGTAACACGAAAGATGCCACTTCTGAGCAGAGCAGGACTGACACAGAGCCCAAGGCCCTCTGGACAGGGCCTTTCTCCTTCCTGAATTCGTGTCCTGCTGGAATCTGAAAGATTTGCACATTCATCCAGCACCTCCACGCGCACGTTGCTCAAACGGAGCAGAGCTCCGAGCACAGGGAGAACCTGAACACCTCCACTTCGGACATGGACAGACAGTCCCACACCTCTCCTTTGTACCAGATCCGTGCACAGAACTAGATCTATGCCTAGCTCTGGTTAAACGTGGCATCAGACTTTGTGCGTGTTGTATGGATGCTATGTATGTGCACACACAGCAGCACAACTCTGCCAAACACACATTTCTTGCTAGGAAATTATCAACAGAAATGCAGCGATGGAGTGGCGTGACAGGAGATGGATCCGTGTGGTCCTCTGCCACAGCTGGGCCTGCCAGCTCACAGCACGCTCCCGGGACAGGATGGGCAAGAGATGCAGCTTCTCTGTTAGAGGAGCGGAGAGAAAGCAGATCTGAAGTCCTCTTACACGCAGATTCGCAAAAAATACTCCCATCCATGCTTACACTTCTGCAAACGACAACACCTGGCTGGACCAAGCAACATCTGTGCTCTGATATTTGGATATCCAGCACTGCAGAGATCCCAGAATATACACTGCAAAGCTACATGTGTGTCCCTGGACTGTCCCTCTCAACATCAAGAAAACACATCTGCAGCCATCTTCTGCCTCACCAGGCAGCTCCCGTGCTCACTGCTGCAGTGTCCTCCACCAGCCCCAGAGCCGGGAACGAAGAAGTAAGCACTCACCAGCTCAGCGTATTTCTTGCACAGCGCTGCTAGTTTCTCCTCTGGTGTGCTCAGGGTGTTCAGCGTCTGCATCAGCAAAGTGATTTCTTTGCCTGGAATGAGAGACAGAATTAAAATAAATAGATAAATAAAATAAAATCACTTACACAGACTTCTGGCTCATAAGGGCAAAGACAGGAGAGAGAAACCAGGTCTTGCAGCAGTGCCTGCCCTGGGCCAGAGCATCCCCAGTGCCTTCTCAGGGCTCTGCCCCGCAGGTTTCACTGCACACAGCGCGCGAACACCTGAAGCAGCTGGGGAGAGACCTGGTTTTCAGAGCGGGAAACCACTACTGGGCTGGCTAGAGAGAGTTGTGTCCAGCAGAAGAGAAATCCACACAATTCAGAGGCTACAGCAGCACCCAGGAGCAGTCAGTGCCTTTGCAGCACTCGGCACGTTTCCTCGCGTACCACAGAACACGATGCCATACTGTTCCCAAGCACGGCTGGACATCACGCACCCAAGGTGCTTATTTCACCGAGGGCAATTAGCGCGGTATAAAATCAATGTCTGTACCGAAGTTCTCAGGCTAGCAGCACAACCAGAGCAGGGAACTTCTCACCTAGGCCCTTGGCTTTCTTCTTTTCCTGAGCCTTCTTCTGATCCCGCTCCCCACACTCCTCGACGGGTCGAAACTCTTCAGTCCCCTTCGTGCTTTCCTTCTCCCCGTTCATCTCGGGGCCACCCGACTCCGGGTCGCCGTTCCTCGGGGACTCGCTACGACACTTCTCAGCTTCCTCTGGCTCTGCGGGCTCACTCTGCCCACCGTCCTCGCCTGGACCCTCCTGGCTGGCATCCACACAGTATGTGTTCAAGATGTCCTCAAGCTGTCTGCTTAGCTCTTCGGAGACGTCACGCACAGCAGGCCGGGAGGACTTGGCGTCCTCCTGTGCGAGAGGAGCTGTGGGAGACGGGAACACGAAAGCATGAGACTTCCCCCATGCCATCTACTCCCTGGTCTCTATAAACACATGGCAAAGGGAAGGTTTCCCGAGCACCCCATGCACCAAGGCTGGCTGAACTTCCAGCAACATAAGCTGCTTTGTTCCGGCTGCGTCTCCAGCCAGCTGCCCTGACAATGGAGGTGCATTCCTAACAGCCTCTCTTTTGATCACACGAGCATGACCAAGCCCCTGACATCTGTCAAGATCAAAACTCCCCCCCCTCCCCCCCATCCTTTAGCGAGAGCAGGTTGTGCGTGAGCTTTCCCTCATAGGAGCTGCCTGCTAACGTCACCAGAGCCAGGCTTTTTTACATTACAATGGATTTTTAAACCTGAGTTAGCCTCTCTCCTCACGTATAAAAGCAGCTGTACTGTCTCAGATCGAACGTATCTTGTCCCCAGCAGCAGATGCAAAGAGCAGGCAACGCATCCCTCAGTACGCTGCTTTGCTTCCAAAGTTCCTCCAAATGAGAGACTTACAGTAGCTGGTTATTAACCTAACTCTCCTTGCTGCGCATTTGCTACATCCCACATTTACTAGGAACCAGAATACAAGGCAGGGTTAATTTTAACCAAGCACCTACTTGATTTGACCTGGTTTTCATCTTCCACAGAGTTATTTTTATGAAGTGCCAGTAACAGGTCAGGTCACTCAACATAACGTTGCCCCAAGGAACCAATTATCTGACATTTCCTGAATGGGACCCTTAAGGTCTAAGCAACGACAAACAACCCATCATTTTCAGGTGAGAACCAACTCCACGCTTTGGTCAGGAAGTGGTAATTACTTCAGAGCCATACGCACACAGAAATAGGAAGAACCCAGGATTTTCTGCCCTGGAAATCACAGCTGCTCTTATACAAATCAAAAGAGCTGGATACAGCGGCCCACTATCACGCAGAGAAAGCACCAGCCTGACTCTTTCCAGGCTCGAAACCCACCCTCGCACGTTCCCTGCGCCTCGCTGCTCGGGCTGTCAGCACCGTCAGCCGCGGGCAGGCAGCAGCACGCCCCAGGCCCCGGGGACTCCCCACCTTCCAGGGGTGCTGCGGCCTCCGGCGATTCGCCTTCCTCCAGTGCCAGGCTGCTGCTCATTTTGGAAGAGCTCGCAGGCCGCGGGGCTGCTTTGGTCTCCCCGCCTTGGTTCTTCATCGTGACTTCACCCTGCTCAGTCTCAACAAACCCTAGAGAAAGAGAAAGAGCAACTACACTTAGTTTTAAGAAGTAATGGTTTGGGGAATTTTAGGAGTCATCAACCTGTGCTGGAAAGGAGCTTGTTCTTAGCAGAGGCTGCCACCGCAGCTCTACACCAAGGGAAGCATCGTTTCGTTTTCAATTCTCAAAGGTCTCCATATCAGGATAACTCCTCTTCCAGCTGAGGAGAGCTGGAAGCAGCCCCTCCTAGAGCAAGGCAGCATCTCCCGACTCGCAGACAGCGCGCGGTTTTCCTCATCTGCTGGGTGCAGCCTTCTCAGCCCTGGCTGTCCTTCCCCCTCACCCCCCACTGTGTTTTACTCTGGGATTTTAAAACTCAGAGTGGTCTGTGCATGCTGACAGAGAAACCTCTTCCCTGCAGTGGGGGACCCGGAGACCAGAGCCTCAACAGCTGTAAGGTCAACACCCACTAAAACTGCACACAGGGCTGAGAAAAGCCCGCAGCTCCCTGGCAGAGCTGGTGCTCAGTGCTGAAAAGGTGAACCAGCATTGCCACGAGCCAGCGGAAACAGATCGAACCCAAATCCCAGCTCGTCTCTCCTCATCCTCTCTCCCTCCGCAGGGCGCGTA